TGAATGTGTTTGTAAAGTCAATGAAACACAAGTAAACATCTTTCCAGGGTTGTCTGCTTTCAGCCAAGATCTGTCTTTGACATCAGAATGATATCTCCTGTTCCACATTCTCTTCTGAATCTGGCTTAAATTTCTGGCAGTTCCTTGTAGATGTACTGCTGCAGCTGTTTTTTAAATTATCTTCAGGAAACTTTTCCTTGCATGTGATATTAATGATAATTTGATGATTTCTGCATTCTGTCACTTTCTTTGGAATGAGTACAAATATGGATGTCTTCTACTTGGTTGGCTAAGTAGCTGTCTTCCAAGTTTCTAGGCACAGATAAGTGATCTTCTCCATCTCTGCATCAGTCTGTTGAAATATTGCAATTTATATTCTTGAAACCTTGTTTTTTGTCAGTGCCTTCAGTACAGGCTGGATTTCTTCCTTCAATAACACTGGTTCTTGATCAGATGCTACCTCTTGAAATGGTTAAATATTGAACGATTCTTTTTGGTCCAGTGACTCTTGTGTATGTCATCTGCCTATGTGTATGTTGTTGAAAAAGCTATTTGCAACAAATGAGTCACTGGTCTTACAAAATTTTATCATGGGATCTTTGTCATTTCTATCACCAAGGCCTTATTTTCCAACTACTGATCCTTCCTCTGTTTTGAATCTTACCATTCCAATAACTAGTATTTATCAATGCATCTTGGTTGCATGTTTGATCAATTTCAGGCTGAAGTTGGCAGAATTGTTTCACCACTGGCTTTAGTGGTTGGTGCATAAATTTGAGTAATAGTTGTATTAACATCTTCCTTATGGGTGTATGGATATTATCACAAACAGCTCTGTGCTTCAAGATAGATCCTGAAATGCTCTTTTTGAAGATGAACATGATGCCATTCCTCTTCAATTTGTTGTTCCCAGCATAGTAACTATGATTGTCTGATTCAAAATGGCCTATACTAGTCAATTTCAGCTATGATCTTTATGCATTCTATTAGTTTTCCATGACTTTCAATTTTCCTAGATGCATACATCCCAATTATTAATAGACATTTGTAGCTCTTTTCATTTTGAGTTTTGCCCCATCAGTAAATGAAGGTGCTGTGCGATTTGCTCCATCCACACCAGTAAGATGGACTCTACTTTGAAGAGGCAGCTCTTCCCTTCCTATTTCGTGTGCCTTCCAACCTGAGGGGCTCATCTTCTGACAGTCTATCAGACATTGTTCCGTATGTATTCATAAGGATTTCAGTGGCTAACCATTCAGTAGTGACCCACCTCTTTTTCTTCTAAATATTAGTCTGAAAGCTGTGCTGAAATGTGTCCATTAAAATATTGGTGGCATAGCTTCCACTATCACAAAACACACAAGCCACCACAGTACAACAAACTGACATACAAGTGGTAGAGCAGTAGCATACAGAAGCTTAAATTACTTACATCAACCAAAGACCACCAGGCCTGTAGTAAAGTCAGATGGATTTGCAAGCAAGGGAGCAAATTCCAATGGAACTGTGAATGCCTCTCCACAAGGGGGAAGATAGTGTCTTTGGTTAAGTTTTAACTCTTTGGGAAGGATTCTGAGGACGCTCTAAGAGAAGCAGAGATCAGGTCTGGAGTTCTTGCATCTGATGTGGGATTTGTTAAGTGCCGTCAAGTCGGTTCCAACCCATAGTGATCCTGTATACTGTTTTCCAAGGAGTGGCTGGTGATCTCGAATCACGGACCTTGAGGTTCAAACTGACTTTGCAGTTCAGTGCATTAACCCCCAGCACCACACCAGGACTCCATTGTGGGATTAGATGTAGGAATTAACTAAGGGTTGGATCCTGACACGAGGCAAGGGTGGTTCATTTAATTGGCTCTCCCCAGTTAATGGAGTCCTGGTATGGCACTGTGGGTTAATGCACCAGACTGCAAAGCCGTTTGAACTGCAAGGTCAGCAGTTCAAGCTCACCAGCTGCTCCTTGGAAACCCTATACAGGGTCGCTATGGGTCGGAACCGACTCGACGGCACTTCACAACAACCACCTTAGGGAAACAATGTTTCCTATTAACTTTGTGGGTGGATTCATGTGTCTATCTTCCAAGCCTTATTAACTGCAGGGTTTTGTTTTGTTTTTAACTGAGCTAGTTTTCAGTCATGAAGAGGTTTTTACTCTTCTCATATGAATGACACAATGGATCATGGAATCTAAACTGGATAGGCAGAGAATGTTAACAATTTCCTGATGTCCAGGAATGATCTCACATCCACTTTAGGTAAGATTACTGTGTAATCATCAAAATACCTAGTAGTCTTTTCTGAGTGACTGCTTTAAAAAACAAACTTCAACTGTATCTTTCTCTCTTATAGATTAAGATTTATTGACGTACCCAATCATAGAATTGGCCCACTTTTCTGACAACACCCAATCTGGAAAAAAACGGGTTTGTAAAAACATGAAACAAAATCGAAACCAAATGTCAAGTTGATTCTAATGACAATCTCAGGTGGTACAAATTTGTTAGAAAAGAACCGCACATAGGCTTTCCTTGGCTGTGATTTTTATGAGAATAGATTGTAAGGCCATTCTTCTAGGGCAATACTGGGTGGCTTTGATTCATCAACCTACGATGGTGGTGGTTGTTAAATGTATGTCATCGAGTTGGTTCCGACTCATAGTAACCCTGTATAGGGTTTCTGAGGAGTTGCTGTCGAGTTTGAACCACTGACTTTACCATTCAAAGTGACCTTGCAGTCCAGTGCATTATCCTTCAGTGCCACACCAGGACTCTAAAATTACTCACCCAAAGCTCAAATCCTAAAATAGATCCAACACTTTTACTGACACAATTCCTTGATGGCCTCCCATAAAGAGGTGGTGGTGAGGTAGCCTATGTCCCTTCCCCTTGAATCCGATATAGTGACTCATTTAGAACCAAGTATAGGATCAGCACTGGGTTGAGAACTACAAGGCCAGCAGTTCAAACCTACCAGAGTTGCTCCTTGGAAACCCTATACAGGGGCCCGACTCGATGTCACTTAATTACAGAAAAGCATCTTCCTGGTTCTTTTGGAATGCTTCTCATATTCCAGCTGTGGGAAGTCTAAGTCACATGGAGGCCACATATAGGTGGTCCTCATCAACAGTCCTAATTGAATCCTGGTTTCAAGTCCTATCAGCACTGGCTCATTCTGACTTCAACCCATCTCCCCTTTGTGACGTGTCTCAATCCCTGAACCATAGAATTCATCAGCTGTTTTATTAAATTTGGAAAGTTTTTTTGAATAGATGACTAGTTGGAACTTATGTATACTGATCCTGTTACTGGCTACTGTGAATACAGTAGTTGGAGATAATTAACTCATGTATAAAAACTAGGTTGCTCGTCACAGAACTTCTAGAAGTGTTAAGTATAATTTGTATCCCTTATGGAAGAAAGATGAGGGTGGGTTTCTGTTCTCGTGAAGACATACAGCCTAGTCCTGGTGTGGCACTGTAGACTAATGTGTCAGACTGCAAAGTCGTTTGAACTGCAAGGTCAGTGGTTCAAGTTCACCAGCTGTTCCTTGGAAACCCTGTGCAGGGTCGCTATGGGTCGGCACTGACTCGATGCCACTTAAAAACAATTCAGAATTAACTCATGGCACACACAACACTAACTTGCATCCCTTGGCACCGAATCTAATGTGTTGCCCATTCCTTCCCTATTAACGATTTACAGAAATTACAGATTAGAGAATTGCAGAGTTTATGAGCCATGTTATAGGAGCCATTTTAGAAAAAAAAAATCTGAATATAAGAATTTCTAAAATCCCCAATAAAATACACAAGATATATGGAGTCCTGGTATGGCATTGTAGGATAAGCACTTGACCCTAAGGTCAGTTTCAATCACAAGGCTGGAGGTTCAAACTCACCAGCAGCTCCTTAGAAACTTTATACAGGGGTCACTATAATTCAGAACTGACTCGATGGCACTTAAAAAACAATTCTATTACAACAGAGAAGACTTTTTGCTGTTTTAAATTTACTATTTTTTCCGTAGGTGTTTGTTGTTGAACTGAATTCTTATTTAATATACATTGTAGGTGACAGTCTGTGTTTTCTAATTTCAGACCTCCAAGTAATTTTTTTGTGTCATGTAAAATATCAAAAGCAATTCTTTAAAGTATCAGGACTCCTTCAAACATTTAGAGAAAATGAAACTAGTTAAAATTTTATTTTCAAAGTCTAATTTTAATTCAGATTGGACAAACAAGCAAAAAAGAAAGCTAACTGTTCTACCAGACAGATGTACCAAATGTAAAACAATGGATTATTAACAGAACTACTTACATGCATATTTACAAGCAGTCCTTTTTTATGTTTTTATAGTAAGTTGGAAAAAGATTTCTGACATTAGGTAAAAATATTACTGAAATAGGGTAGGAATATAGTGCCACATGACATTAAAAGTATTAGAAAAGTGATCCTCCAGGTGTATCAATTATAAAGTGGATGAAAACTTGGGTGACAAAGATCTAATAAAATTCTCTAGTAAAAAAGTCAATGTAACTCATGCTTATAAAATAAAAATGAGAGCCTTATAAATAAAACAAAATCATGTTTTTAGGCTTTAGGGTAACAGAGTTAGTCAGGTGAAAAAAAAAGTCATAAAATAAATGAAAGAATAATTCTTGCTGGAATAAACCCTCAGTGCAGTCTTTGTTGTTTGTTGGGAAGTTTCCAAGTCTGTCTTTCTTTTAACATTACTGAAAGCCCTTGGTATCAAATAGGATCTGCATATGTAACATCAGTTATTAATGCCATATCCCAAGACTTTAATGCTAAATATTTTCATGATTGTGATTCATATCTGAAATTTCAATGAGACACTGAAAGTCAAACAAAAATTAAAGTGGTAATACTCATCTTAAAAAGGATGCTACATTTACTTGTATGTATTTCCAGGCTAAGATTTATTCCCCAAGCAAAGTGAAATTTAAAGGATCAGTTTCTAAATATCTAGTAAAATTTACTTCCAACATTTAATTTATTTCAAAATCGATTTTATTGCAGCCAAAACAATGGAATTAACTGTACATAATAAACTATTATATATATATACACATTTTAAGTTACAGGGAATAAAGTTTATTTTGGCAGATAGTGTTAAAGAAAATTAAAGTTGCATACATTAGTAACATAACTCAGTATCCTTAATTTGGTATTATAAGTGTGACACATTTTTCTTGCTTTCCTGTGTTCTGCTAGGATCACCAAACCTAAAATGCTTTATATAAAACTGATGTGCTGAAACGTAAACTTCACTGTTTCCGCTTACGCTCTGATTCTAAACAAAACTTTTCATAAGCTTCTTCTATTTCTGGGTCCATCTCATCATCAATATCATCCAAATATCTGTAAAAGATGCAAAAATAAGTTATGAGTTATAATAGAACACAAGGACTGTTTAAAATTTTTTATAACTGGATTGAGTCCCTTATGTTTGAAGTTAAGATCCTGCAATACTTTCAGATGTACAGGTTTAAATTTTATAACCTAAAAGATAAAGATTGATACAAATTTACCTTATCAATAAATAAATAAAAAGTGCCATTTACTTACAATACATTTATGTCTACTTAAAATCAGGTATCAAACTAGGTTATTCCTGTAATGACAATTTAGTCTTATCTCGATTTAATAGGACTTACATTTTCATAACAGAAAGTTACTTTTGAGATCACCTATCCAAGTTTTTTCTACTAATATGTAGTCATTAGAAAGGTAGAAAGCAAGGCTTTCAAGGGCTTTGTGTATAGATGGGGGGTGGGGGGGGGGAGGGAGAAAAGTACCAATCAAGGTCTTAATGTACATATCTCTTACTGAATTGTTATTATCATCTTAAAAAGACAGGATCTATTATTGTCTTCATTTTAAACCTATGAAACTGAGAGGTTAAATGAATAATGTATTTTGTAAGATCAGAATGTAACTACAAATCTTTCATCTTTTCTGTACTTTTCCCCATAACATACACAATGCTGTTTCATACCTCCCCACCTATCTTCTCTTCCACCTCTAAGTTTTATCACACACACAAAAAAACGTATCTTGCCAGGCCTATAAATTGCTGGTTTTACAGGGTCTTTTTCCTTATGTCTTTCATTCATTACACGACAATGTGTTGAAAGAGTCATGAGTTCAACAGGGAAACAAAATATGGTGTTCATCCAGCATAATGTTACTTCTAATGCCTGCTTGGACCCTTATTTCCCTGCTATTTTCTTTATTAAGCTCTTGTTAAGGAGCTCTGGTAGCGTAGTGGTTACGAATCGGGCTGCGAATCCTAAGGTCAGCAGTTCGAAACTACCAGCGGTTCCGCGGGAGAAAGATGAGGCGTTCTGCTCCCGTAAAGATTAACAGCCTCGGAAACCCTGTGCAGGGTCGCTATGTGTCGGAACCGACTCCACAGCACATAACAACAACAATAACAACAACAAGCTCTTGTTAAGTGCCGTCGAGTTGATTCTGAATTAAAGTGACTCCGTATAGGGTGTCTGAGGAACAGCTGGTGGGTTTTAACTGCTGACCTGTGGTTCGCAGTCCAGTGTAGATCCTACAGTACCTTACTAAGTGTTCTTATTAAACTAGCATAACTAAAACGGTGGTGGTTATGCGCCATGGTTCCAATTCAAAGCGACCCTGTACAGGATTTCCATGGCTATAAATTTTTACGGGAGCAGAAAGCCTTATCTTTCTCCCGCCTAACAGCTGGTAGTTTCCAACTGCTGACCTTGTAATTCGCAGCCAGATTCGTAACCATTATGCTACCAGAGCGCCTTAGCATAACTGAAATACTGCAACATTACTAGATCTAAAATTAACCAATAAGTAAATATCACTAAACATGAGCATAAAAGGTGGTTCTCTTTAACACCTAGAACACACACGAGTAATGTAACATAAGAAAAATTAATATCACATATCTATTCTCTTCTTTCTACAAAGGAAGAGAACATAAATTGATCCAAATTCATGCATTTGTTAACCGAGTTGGGAACCAACATCACAAGTATTGATCCTTGTATAGCAAAAATATAGTGCAAATTGATGACAATTGTGTCATATACTATGTTTCTTTTATTATAAAGAATAGCAAGTAAAGTCATTGAGTTATGAGAACATGACTTATCACATTTTCGCATGAGTTCAAACATCTTTATATTTTAAGTTATCTGTGTTGTCTTTACTAATCTTTGACAGCTATAACTTTGAGCATTTTACTATGGACCAGAAAACACCATCAAGTTTTTATTATATACTCTCATTCAGTTCTCATATGGACTGGTTAACATTTAGAGCTAACTTAGGTATAATGTGGTTTATTAAAAATATGGGTCCTGCCCTAGGGACCATTAGGGGAGAAGTGCACGAGCAGAATGTGGGACCCTATCCAGAGAAGCAGCAACACCAGAGATGGAGGCAGAGATGAGAACATGGGGAGAGAGAGAGAGAGAGCGAGCTGCTGAGGTTCTAGACTCAAGGAAAGGGAAAGGCTGTGTGTGCTGGTGGCCAGGAGGCAGGCTTGCAGAAATGTGCTCTTTGGTGGTTTAAATGATTATATACCCCTGAGTGTTTTTGTGTACACTCTTCCTGTGCCGTTCCCCTCGCCCCCTAAAAAAAAAAAAAAAAAAAAAAAAAAAAAAAAGAGGGGAGAGAAGCATTTACTGTTGAATGATGATGCACAGAGGCACAAAGGAGATTATAATCATTGCAATGAAACGATGAGTGTAAAACTGATGTTCTCCCACGTAAACTCTTACTCAACTCACAATAAAAAATTATATATATAAAAAAATTAATATATGGGTCCTGGTATGGCACTGTCAGATAAGCACTGGACTGCTATCCAAAAGGTCAACAGTTCAAGCACACCAGCTGCTCCTTATGAAACAGTGTCTCTAAGTCAGAATTTGACAGGGCACTTATAATTAAAAATATACATTGTGCCTAAATATACCACATTTTATAGTTTTTTCGCACATATATAAATTAAAATTTTCTCAGTCTGTAAGTATGCTAATATGATTTTCTACACATTTTTGGTAAGTACTATAGTTCGAGTCCTGGTGTGGCGCTGTGGGTTAATGCGCCAGACAGTAAAGCCATTTGAACTGCAAGGTTGGTGGTTCAAGCTCACCAGCTACTCTTTAGAAACCCTATACAGGGTCACTATGGGTTGGAACTGACTCAACTGCACTTACACAACTATAGTCCTGATGTGGCGCTGTGGGTTAATGAGCCAGACTGCAAAGCTGTTTGAACTGCAAGGTTAGCGGTTCAAGCTCACCAGGTGCTCCTCAGAAACCCTATACAGGGTCGCTAATGAGTTGGAACTGACTCGACAGCACTTAACAACCATGTATATCATCATGAAATGAAAATGCACATTTGCTCATCACCCATTTTTTTTTTTTATAATCTACAAACTGGCCAGAGAATTTAGTAGCTAAAGAAAACTTACGGATCACCAGCCCCTGATAAATCTGTTCCATTTTCTTCATAATCTGGAAAAAAGTCTTCTCTTTCAAGCAGCTCTTGATATTTCTCCTGGTAATCTGTAAGACAATAAAAATAAATTACAATGTTGGCGGGGGGCGGGGGAAGGACACCAGTTATCCCCAACTCCACATTCCCATTTTGATGTTGACTTTTTATATAAATGGACTCTTGCTGTGGCACTGCAGGGTAATGCACTGTTTGAATTGCAAGGTCAAACAGAAAAGTGGATTCAGTGCTTACTGAGAAACAGTGAACAGATGCAGCCAAGAGACGAGGTTAACTGATACACAGTGGCAGCCAAGAGAACCTGACTGCAGCCACCTTCAAAGTTGGTGAACTTTAGAGACGTCACAGAAACTTCCCTGAGGCTCATGGAGACAAAGGTGTGATTTAGTAACTTCATCTCTCATGGGACAAGTTCCATGAATGAGCTTTTACTTCCAGAAGGATGGATTTTAAACACACACACCTGGCTTTCAGATCCCCCATGACTCTTCCCTCCAAGGAGGTAAACTGAGCTATGTGTTAGCAGGTAGTTCTGTAAGAAGAACAGGGCATTTTTCTTCCCTCAGAAACATCTGAAAGACAGTCACCTAGTAGCTGATTCCGTTTTGCTAGATCCAAACATGCCCAAAGTTGTGCTCTTCCAAAGAAACAAAGGTGATCTAGATCTCCATCCATTTAGCACATAAGAGTCCTCTTTATTGAGTCCCTTTAATATTAGCATGTCTTAGAGAGTTTACTACTGAATAAAATTCATCACCTTATAGTAAAGCTTTATTGTTGTGTGTGCCATTGAGTCAGTTCTAATTGTTAGCGACCCCCATACAGGGTTTCTGAGAGCAGCTTCTGAGTTTTAACTACTAACGTTGTGATTAGTATAGTCCCAGTGCTCATCCACTTATCCTACAGTGCCACACCAGGGCGCATAGTAAAACTAGTTACACTAATGACAACAACAATTATATACATATATATATATAT